TGCCTTTAAACATCCGGACTAAACACGCGGCTGATGAGTCAACGGGCGATTTTTTAAAATTCCTCAACCATCTCCTTGGAACTGGGCAAAAAGTCCCCATTAAAGCACCTGTGGTCCTGGGCTTGGCGAATTGAGGGCGTGGCAAAAATGTTTGGCGGTTCACTAATGCTTCCTTCAAGCATCTGGACGAAACACACGCTTGAAGACCCAATGGGCGATTTTTTTTAAATTCCTCAACCACCTGCTTCCTATTGGGCAAAAGTGACAAAAGCGAATTAAATCCTTCGTGTCCTGTGATTCCGGGAATTTAGGAGGTGGCAAAAAATTTTGGACGTTTCAATAATCCTTCCTTTAAACATGCGAACTAAACACGCTATTTAAGATCCAACGGGCGATTTTTAAAAATTCTTCAAGCATATCGTTGGAAATGGGCAAAAGTGATAAGTGCCAATTAAAGCCTTCGTGTTCTGTGATTCGCGGAATTTAGGGCGTGGCAAATATTTCGGGACACTTGCACAATCCTGCCTTTAAACATGCGGTTGAAGACCCAACAGGCGATTTTTTTAAATTCCTCAACCACCTGCTTGCTATTGCGCAAAAGTGACAAGTGCGAATTAAAGCCTTGGTGTCCTGTGATTCGGGGAATTTAGGGCGTGGCAAATATTTCTGAACAATTGGATAATCCTGCCTTTAAACATCCGGACTAAACACGCGGCTGATGAGTCAACGGGCGATTTTTAAAAATTCCTCAAGCATCTCGTTGCAAATGGGCAAAAGTGACAAGTCCCTATTAAAGTGCCTGTGGCCCTTGACTCGGGCAATTGAGGGCGTGGCAAATAATTCTTGGCCGTTCACCGATGCTTCCATAAACCATCTGGACTAAACACGTGTTTGAAGACCCAACGGGCGATTTAAAAAAAATCCTCAAGCATCTCGTTGCAAATGGCAAAAGTGACAAGTCCCTAATAAAGCGCCTGTGGCCCTTGACTTGGGCAATTGAGGGCGTGGCAAATAATTCTTGACCGTTCGCCGATGTTTCCGTAAACCATGTGGACTAAACGCGTGATTGAAGACCCAACGGGCGATTTTTAAAAATTCCTCAAGCATCTCATTGCAAATGGCAAAAGTGACAAGTCCCTATTAAAGCGCCTGTGGCCCTTGACTCGGGCAATTGAGGGCGTGGCAAATAATTCTTGATGCTTCCGTAAACCATCTGGACTAAACGCGTGTTTGAAGACCCAATGGGAGATTTTAAAAAATTCCTCAAGCATCTCGTTGCAAATGGCAAAAGTGACAAGACCCTATTAAAGCGCCTGTGGCCCTTGACTTGGCCAGTTGAGGGCGTGGCAAATAATTCTTGACCGTTCACCGATGCTTCCGTAAACCGTCTGGACTAAACACATGTTTGAAGACCCAACGGTCGATTTTTTTAAATTCCTCAAGCATCTCGTTTGCAAATGGGCAAAAGTGACAAGTCCCTAATTAAGCGCCTGTGGCCCTTGACTTGGGCAATTGAGGGCGTGGCAAATAATTCTTGACCGTTCACCGATGCTTCCGTAAACCATCTGGACTAAACGCGTGTCTGAACATCCAACGGGCGATTTTTAAAAATTCCTCAAGCGCCTGTGGCCGTTGACTTGGGCAATTGAGGGCGGGGCAAGTAATTTTTTGGCTCAAAATTGGGAAAATTCAGTCTTGAGTTGAACAACGCGCGATTTAAAAAAAATCCACTTGGAAATGAGAAAAAGTGACAAGTTCCCATCAAACCGTCTGTGGCCCTTGACTTGGGGAACTGAGGACGTGGCAAAAAATGTTGACGGTTTATTAATGCGTCCTTAAATCATCCGGACTAAACAGGACCTTTAAGGCCCAACGGGCGATTTTAAAAAATTCTTCAACCAGCAAAAGTGCCACGCCCATGTCTAAATTTTTTCCTAGTTGAACAAGGGTTCCCTTAAGCATCCGAAGGAGCCACACGGTTGCGAACGCAACAGCCGATTTGAAAAAATTCCGAGGTGGAACCGCGGTGGACAGAACCCGATTAGAATACTGTTATTATTAACATTGTCCGGTACCCGCCCATATTGGCAGATAACGGCTAGATGGTTCCCATTAGGTTTTTTTCGGGCCGCAATCAAGCCGAGTAATTAAGGTTCCTTGAACCGCAGTGGCGTGACGAACTGCAACTGAGACTCACCTGAGCAGGATGGTCAGGTTGACGTCGTGGCTGAGCCGGTCGAGGGCCAGAGTCCCGTCCACCCGCACCGCATTGATCTTGTCGCGCAACGTTGCCGAACTGCCCACGGGCGCATGCCGCTCCTTCAGGATATCGAAGATGTTCGGCTGGCGCAGGAACGCCACCACTTTGTCGTTGTAGGCGGCCGGCACTTCCGGGATGTTCGTCTGGGCGTTCGCCGTCGTTGTGGTGGGGCGCGGGGGCGGCACCGGCGCCTGAAACACGCCAACCAATCAGCACGGCGGCAGCGCAGCCCGGTGGGCGTGGGGGGCGTGCGCGACTTACCTCTGCGTCATCGGACAGGCGCCGCACTGCCTGGGCGCAGTCGAGTGGCAGTCGCGGGTCCATATACGTGGTGCGTTTGTTAGTGTGATCGATAAAAAATGGCTGCGCCCGTTAGTTGCCTTATTAAAAGGGGAGTGGCTAGCGTTACCTTGGCGACGGCGTCCTGCTTGCGGTCCCACCCGTCGGGCAGCTCCAGCTGCTCATTGGCGAACATGTTCACCAAGGCGACCAGCTCCTTGTTGTGCTGGTACTTGTCGAAGTAGGCGGGGTCGCGCCTGATGCGGTTCAGCATGTGCTTGAGGGTGGGGTGGCGGTTGTACAGCGCTGTTGCCTCCTGGAAAAGTTCCTCCGGTTAGTAAATCCGCAGTGGTTTGGCAACAGGGGAATCTTGCCGGGTTCATGTGGAGGATGGTGAAGAAGTCGGGGCGATTGAGCAGGCGGCAGCCGGGGGCGGCGAGCTCGCCCTCCAGCCGATGCGAGCTGATCG